GGGGAAACAGCTGCATGGTGCTCAGTTGCCCTTGGGGCTCAAACGATGACACATGGCTTTAAGGAGAGACTTGCCCAAGTACTTGAGAGATAAAGTAGGGCTACCAAATAGGTACCATTCAGCTAATGAACTTCTAAGATAAGTCCTAAGTTTTAAGATACAGAGAGGTTTTTGTGGAGGAAGTGTTGTATATTCTGACCCCTCTTTTTTACTCTTCTCTTGGCCACCACTTACAAACTTGGTTGGAGACAGGACACTACCTGAATAGACCTTTGATATGAGTCAATGCAAGCATTTTTCTGTTGTAAGGCTAATAGGAAAGAACAGAGGAACAAGGCCTATATCCTGAAAAATGTTAAGAAATATGTTATATCCTGTAAACAGCCTTAAAGCAGTATGTACATGCAAAATATTATATGAATGATGTAAGTTCATATATGATTTTATAATATTTGCTTGTTTGGTTGGTTGGGTTTTTTTAATAGAATCAATAATTCCCAGTGTTATTGATTTGTTATTAATTTGAGCTGATTTTAATGATCTTTTATGGTTTGGATTTAAATAAGGAATGATTTAAAGTAACTATATAACCAGCTATGCTGCTACAAAGTTGTTTTTTAAAGTCCCGGGCTGAGGCCATGTAGACTAATGATAATCATTAACTAGATTTCGATACATAAGACTGGTGATGAGGTACCATTGTTAGACTGTTCAGTAAGGATGATTTATTGCCCTGTAGACCAGGTGTTTTAGAAGTTACATTGTGAAAGGGCCTCGAAGCATGTTAAAATTGCAATGTGAACCAAAAATCCTTGGGTCAAGGGCATTGGAGGGTCTTTGGTTTAGGTCAGTAGTCTGTGGTCTGTCACAAAAGCGGCCCCCCAACTCACTTCAGGACTCAAGTGTGCATGATTGGAAAGAGGTGGATATAAGAAAATGAGTTATGGGAGTTCACATGTTTATATATGAGAACTTGATTAATATAGAATCACAGAATTCAGAATCACAGAATCATCCAGGTTGGTAAAGACCCTTGGGAACATCGAGTGCAACCATCAGCCCTACTCTACAAAGTTCTCCCATACACCACATCCCCCAGCATCTCATCTAAATGGCCCTTGAACACATCCAGGGATGGTGAATCCACCCCCTCCCTAGGCAGCCTATTCCACTGTCTGACCACTCTTTCTGTGAAAAATTTTTTCCTAATGTCCAGACTAAACCTCCCCTGTTGCAGTTTAAAGCCATTCCCTCTTGTTCTGTCACTGATTACCTGTGAGAAGAGACCAGCACCAACCTCTCCTACAATGTCCTTTCAGGTAGTTGTAGAGAGTGATGAGGTCTCCCCTCAGCCTTCTCCTCCTCACACTAAACAGTCCCAGCTCCTTCAGTCTCTCCTCACAGGATCTGTTCTCCAGGCCCTTCACCAGCTTTGTTTCCCTCCTCTGCTCTCGCTCCAGCACCTCGAGATCTCTCTCATACTGAGGTGCCCAAAACTGGACACAACACTCCAGGTGTGGCCTCACCAGAGCAGAGCACAGGGGGACTGTCACCTCCCTGCTTCTGCTGGTCACACTATTTCTGACACAAGCCAGGATGCCGTTGGCTTTTTTGGCCACCCGGGCACACTGCCGGCTCATGTTCAACTGCTTGTCAATGAGAACCCCCAGATCCTTCTCTCCCAGACAGCTCCAGCCACACCTCCCCAAGCCTGTAGCCATGCAGGGGGTTGTTGTGGCCCAAGTGCAGGACCTGGCACTTGGCCTTGTTGAAGCTCATCCCGTTAACATTGGCCCACAGATCCAATCTATCCAAGTCTCTCTGTAGAGCCTCCCTGTCCTCATGCAGATCCACACTCCCGCTTACCTTGGTGTCATCTGCGAACTCACTGATGACACACTCTGTGTCCTTATCAAGATCATCAATAAAGATGTTAAACAGAAATGGTCCCAACACTGAGCCCTGAGGAACACCACTTGTGAGTGGCCACCAGCTGGATTTAACTCCACTGACCACCACTCTCTGGGACCGTCCATCCATCCAGTGCTTGACCCAGCAGACCGTGTGCTCATCCAGGCCATGGGCAGACAGTTTTTCTATCAGAATTCTATGGGCAACTGTGTCGAATGCTTTTCAAGAATCCAGGGAGACAATATCCACAGCTTTTCCCTTGTCTGACAGTCGGGTCGTCTTGTCATAGTAGCAGAGGCAGGACCTGCCTTTCATACCCCCATGCTGTCTGGGCCTGTTCCCCTGGTTGTCCATTATATGACTTGTAGTGGCACTCGAGATGACCTGCTCCATGACCTTCCCTGGCACCGAGGTCAGACTGACAGGTCTATAGTTCCCTGGATCCTCCTTTCTGCCTCTCGTGTAGATGGGTGTCACATTTGCCACCCTCCAGTCCCATGGGACCTCCCCAGTCAGCCATGACTTCAGGTAAATCATGGACAGCGGCTTGGCGAGCACATCTGCCAACTCTTTCAGCGCCCTTGGGTGTCACCCATCCGGTCCCACAGACTTGTGTGCATCCAAGTGGTGCAGCAGGTCTCTGACCACCTCCTCTTCAGCTGTGCTGAAATATGTATTACTGTATCCTATACAATCAGCATGTTACGTGTGTTAGGTGTGCGTTGTTGGTGAGATGACTCCCCTGCACACCTGGCGGTTAATAAAGGAGTGCCTGCTTATCTAAATCAAATTGGTGTCAATAAGTTCTTTTGTCCCATTTTGGTGACACCAGAGTAGCTGGATAATAATAAAATTGTTCCCCAAGTTCATGCAAGCTTTATTGTTAAGGCGTAAATGGGACATAAACTCTGTACAAAGTTCTCAGTGTTGAGTAATTTGATCTTTACACAAACAGAATTCCTTTCTTTTGTGCTCACCTACCTTGCTTATTGTGTAATCTTACTTCTTACTACAGGATGCTTAGATTAAACGTTGTAGAATGTATTATGAGAATATACTTGTATATATCTTTTACCAAAACCCCTCCTGAAACCATCAATCCAAATATTTTTACTAAAACAATATAGATTATGGAGAATAGAATATTCAGAAATGATACTATAGTTAATAATGCCTCTTATGCATGCTCAGATAAGGTTCACATCCTTGTATGTGTATTTACAAATATTCTCAACTGCCAGGATTTGCAAATACAGTACTTCTTGTTTCTCTCTTGTTTCCTCCTCCCCCAGGCACAAGAAAAAGTGGCAAGAGAAGAGCACATTCATTAAACAAATGAGGATTATTCATGGATCAGTTTACAGAGAAGAAGACAGGAAAGGCTTCACAAAAGTGGTTTACCAAAATATATTTACTGCCATACAAGTAATGATCAGAGCCATGGATGCTGTCAAGATACAGTACACATCCAGAGAGAATGAGGTAAGCCACTGCAAAGAAAATTCTAGTTTCAGCCCATGAAATTTTAGTTTGCACACAAATTATCTGAGTCATAAACTTCTACAGGCAGAATCTTAAAAATCCGTATAGGTTGTGAGGAGTTTGGTGCCGCAACGTCTGATTCTACAGAACAACAGGGAGTTCCTAGTGGAACGAGGGACAGAATGAGTGGGGATGGAGCTGGCTAGGAAGGGAGAATGTTCAGAGTTGCAAGCTGGTAATAAGTACTAAAAAAGAAAAAAAGGGGGGTTTTTATTCTAAGTTATAGAGTTAGACTGTGCATGATAGGAGTATGCAGACTGTGAGAGACGAGAAACCAGGCCTGTGAGAAACTAAGAAAAACAGCCTGGTAAAGCAGAAGTTGAGGTTGATTGAAGAAATGCCTCAAACACTCGCAAGACAAAACTCCGAGTCACAGGGTGCTTTCTGTGGAGGCCGAAGCTGATAACGCTGCCCGATGTATCTGGGGGAGAGAGCCCTGTGGAGACAGGACGGCTCTGCCCTGGGGCACCTGGGCAGATTTCAAGGGCCATGTGTCCGGTGAATGAACTTTGCTTCATCATCCACGAAATGCATATTAAAGTTGACACCCCTCAATATGCTAACGAGGGCTGTCATGATCATGCTAGTGACATCATCCCATGAAACACCTTACCCCTCCCCGTACATGGGATACGTAGGTCTGTGGGTTGACCTAGGGGACAGACCCAAGGAAAGTGGGTATAAATCAAAGGGGAGAAGAAAGGGCGCTCCCCTCTCTCTCTCTCTCTCTCTCTCTCTCTCTCTCTCTGCCCCCCTCTCCCTGCCCCCCTGGCTGTCTGGAGAGAGCAGTGAAGCGAAGAAGATGGCTGCCAGCAAAAAAGATGGCCATCTCCTGGAACCCTTGCCGGCGGGATCAGCGCAGGCACCCAGACCGGTGATCTGTATTCCCCCATTCCCTCTATCTCCCTCTTTTCCTTTTTCCATTAAGAAATGCAAGGCATATTGTATTGCTCGCCACAACTTGCTATGTACTTAGCCAATTATCATGTGCTCAATTAGTACATTGTAGGTAGTTAATAAATGCTTGAACTTGGAGACTTGTTGTCTGGTCCACTGGGGATTTGTGAATCTGAGTCACTTGTCCCCCTCATCTGAGTGGAATGTGACAGAGACAGAACTCCAAAATGAGAAATCTGGGGTCTATTGTAGGAAAAGTCAAATCTTTTTGATACTGGTGTGCTTTGAAACATACCATCAAGAGCCCTTTTATGGATTTGGTTGCAACCTTTTAGTTTCATTGTATGTTATACAATTACATTTTTGGTTTCAGCGCTTGCAATTATATAACTATACCAAAAAAAAATTCTGCTTCAGTTAAATCAGTTGCATCCTTTGCATCCATCCATTGCATCAGTTGCACAAGTACCATAAAGAATATGTAAGCAAAATAATGGGTAATATTTGTTTAAGAGGGATTTCCAGTTGGCTAACTTTTAGTGTTAAGGTAGAGAAGACTGTGCAGGAAATATCAAGGCACAAATAGTTTGTAGAATATATAGGTTTATTGACTGAAATACTATATGTACAAATGATAGCCTACTTTTCATTCAAAAAATGGGATTGCATATGAACAACACAAACCCCAAAATTATGATCAGGTTTTTTTATTATTTAAGTTGGTTTGTGTTTATTCTCCTTAGGGTTGTAGAGAAGAGGGATAGAAAATGTTGTTTAAAATAAAGGACTGGGAAATTAAAATTATTTTCTTTTTTACCAGAAAAGAATAGATGGTGTTAGCAAGAACAAATTTCCAACTTCAGAGAGCTGAGGTAATTCTTCGCTACATAAGAAAAATATTCTGAGGGGTAATAAGTTTGTAAAACATCTTCAGATCCTTAAGAAGGTGATAGTTGAAGAAACATCAAAAGTGATTGTGAATACACTTCATCCTAATTCAGATGTGTGTAATTTGATGAAAAATTATGATAATCAGAATCTAGTTGAAGAAGCACATTTGCACTGCCTCTTACTGAATTTTGGGGTTCGCCTTTTCCTTTTCCTTTTCCTTTTCCTTTTCCTTTTCCTTTTCCTTTTCCTTTTCCTTTTCCTTTTCCTTTTCCTTTTCCTTTTCCTTTTCCCCTTTTCCTTTTCCTTTTCCTTTTCCTTTTCCTTTTCCTTTTCCTTTTCCTTTTCCTTTCCTCCCATTAAGAACAGAATACAAAGACTTAAATAGCAAATTTTTTCTCTTTCTGGGCTCAGAACTGAGCTGGATATGTTCCCATACACTCTATTCTGGCTAAATAGTGTTCTTGATAAGAGCTGTTCTGCCAGTGTCTTCAGAAGATTATAATGCTATTTTACAGTTGTGGGAGAGAAGCAGAATTTGGTCTTCTGCTTCTATATTAAAGATAACAAACAGCTAAGTGATAAACACACAGTTTGTCATGCCCATCTTCAGTGGCATTTAGAAAGGAAAGTAAGTTTTGCTTACACACAGAGAAACTCTTGAGAGACAACATGAAAATAACCAAGCATTACTCCAGTCTCTTTGCAGGAGGCAACTGCATTTTAATCTTTCATTTAGGTCATGAACATAATGCAAAGTACTATAAATCTTGTAGTTGCCTTCCATTAAAAGATCTTAAGCCTGTAGCAAAAAAACAGTTGACAACAGTGATAAACAGAGGAGTTGTGATTCTGCTGTCATAACTGTATTGCAAAGGTGTGTTGAGTGACCATACAGATTGTCCAGTGTGCTCCTCCACATTTCAGTATGTCCATTTTCTCCATGGCATGCCTTCTTTTCCCTGAAAAGTTTGTTTTCCTCTGGCCTTTTTTTTTTAGATTTTGTTTGCTTGCTTGTTTTTCTTGTATCCAGTTTTTGCTTTGACCAGGTCAGGTTTTTTTCTTCTGTGGGCTCTGGAATTCTCTGGCTGCTATATATTTTCATTTAATGCTTTTGTAGTAGAGAACAGATTGTTCTGCACCAAGTGTCTCTTCTTTGTAAGGGTGATGAGTGTGAAAATCTGTAACTGATATATGGATAGAATGTTCAAAATGGCCTCTTAATCCTCTTATTATTTGCAAATAAAGCAAGTTTTATAGAAGGTGTTTAAAGAGTTTTCTTATTGCTATTGTCAACTGCAAGTATTTCAGTAAATGATCTGGCTTTCTATAGATGCTTCATTGACATGGGAAGAGGTTTTTCTTTTGTATAGGGTTGAAGTTCCTTGGATGAAATACTTGACCTTTACTTTTATTCTAATTTCAGGTGGTGTGTTCTTTGGGATACTTTGTCATCCTCAGTTTGAAGTTGGAAGGCATCAGAGCATGTTTTGGGTATATTTTAAGCATAAATCCTGCAGATGTGTAGGAACCTAATAATTCAAGGAATTAGTATAGTCCTGTCTAAACCCCACAGTTTTGAAAGGGATTGTTTGGTTGTGGTTTTTTGTTTGGTTTTTTTTTCTCTTTTTTTTTTTTCCATTATAACCACTCTATAAAATTTGCCACTAGAGATGAACTAGTTGGAGGGTGGGTGTGGGGTGGAGGAAGTAATATTTATTATCTATATATCACTTTTTTATGTTGTAGAGTGACAATTTGTAAATTGAATGTTGATCAAGTAGCCAGTTACAGCACAACAGGATTTACAGTCTCTGAGGATAGTCTTTTTGTGTGAGAGCTTGAATCAACTACTTTTACAAACACTTATTTTTTTCCACATGATAATTGAGACTGCCAAAAAGCAAGATGAAAGTTAATGGCAGCCTGTCTCTTCGCTTCTTTGAGAAATTGTGATTGAGTTAATGTGAATATTAAGTAAATGGAAGAAAGAATGTATGTGAAGCATAGAGAAATAAAACATCAGCTGATAGCTGAGAAGTCATGAAAGCTCTTTTTCACTGACCAAAATCTCTTTTAATCAACTTAAAGTCAAAGTGTAGGAAAGGAAAACTTCAAACAGAAGCAGCAAGAAAATGGGTGATGTTGGAGGAAAGGAAAATACAGCATTCTCTTTGTGAGTATACATCAGTCTTAAAAGGCAGATTTTAAAATATTTCTTGGTTGCTTGACTGTGCTAGTCAGTCAGATCTTACTGTATTATGTTAGGTTTTCCTGTATTACAAATATGCAGAAGAAGCAAGTTTTTTAAGTTTAGCTGAACTGGAGATGCAACAGAGATTTTAAAATACTAGTTCATCAGAACTTTTCCATCATCTTGCAAGCTAACGTGTATTCTATATTGTAGAATAATCACTCTCTTTTCTTTCTCCAGTTAAGGCAACACTGGCTATTTCACCTTATTTGTGGTGGGTTTTTTTTGTGTGTGTGTTGTTTTTGTTGTTGTTGTTGTTGTTGTTGTTTTTGTTTGTTTGTTTTTCTAAATAAATGCACTTAACCCACTGGGAAGACCTTTTTATATAGCTGTTCAGGGTAAGGATCATAGAACAGGAATTCAGTTCTGTTGTTGTGGGTTGGTTTGTTTTTTAAAATACCCTGGTAAGATGACAGTGCATATGTTTGCAATTAACAACAGATCTTTGTAGCAGTATGAACAATTACTTTTTTCCTAAGGAGAGAAACAGAATACTGTGTAAAAATGCACTTCATAAAGAGGTCATCATGTTGCATCCCAAAAATATTTCTTGCTTTCAATAAGTAAGAATCTAGTGTCCTTCTGTCTTACAAAAGTTGCCTTGGCACGAGCATGTATCAGCAAAACTAAAATTTTTCTGAACAAAAGAACTACAATGCCAAATTAATTTTACGGGACAGGCAATTAACTTATGTTAGAAAAGGGGAATGAAAAACGGCAAAAGAGAGTAAAATGAGATTTGGGAATTCCATGTAGCTGGGACAAAACAAAAACACAGCAAAGAGTAATTATTGGTTGATTTCATTGCATGTTTCCATTTGAAGATGTGAAAATGACCCAACACAGTTCTTTCTGCTCTTAATTTTTTTAAACCTTAGCAGAGAAACAATTGCTCATAGCA